TTTTTTTTTTTTTTTTTTTTTTTACAGACAGGGTTTCACTATGATGGCCAGGATGGTCTCTGTCTCTTGACCTTGTGATCCGCCTGCCTCAGCCTCCCAAAGTGCTGGGAATAGAGGCATGAGCCACCGCACCCGGCCAACAATTATTCTTATTAACTATTTTCTTAAGGGCTATGTCTTATCTTATAAAGTAAAACTAACAAAGCATGCCTTCAACTCATGTTTTTATTTCTGCACAAACATGTTTCTTGTTTAGTATATAAGTATAAAAGACTAAGATATCTATAGATTGATTCTACAGAAGTATATGACAGACTAGTAATATAAAATAACATATTTTATCAAGTTATATGTATATCATATCTGAACAACAAGATAATAACTTGCATAACAGTGTGAGTGGTTACAAAAAGAAGTTACCATATATATCATTCAGATTAAATAAGTATTTCCATATTAGTTACCACTGGACATTTACTATCTCTGTGATTTATAGTTAATGTTGTTCCATACATGATGAGTAATGTTATTAAGATGAGCAGCCAAAGATTAAAAAAAAAAAAAGAATTATTGTGGATCTTTAACTGGACTGTATTATATAGCAATGTAAATGTTCATTACCATAATATTTACTAGCTGTGTTCTAGATGGAAATACATATCCTTTCATTATGAACCTAGAAGCCAAGATTTGGAGATTTGCAATTCACTACCTCTGTGACTTTGGACCTGGATCCTTGAGCCTTAGCTTTCCCACAAACGTGAATAAAAATAAACCACTTCATAGAGCTGCTTCAAGAGTCAGATAAAGTAATATATGTGAGAACACTGTGTGAATGAAATTTCTCATAGGATTGTCATTGTTATTAACGCTACTCATTTATTAGTAAGCAACTTCAGGAATACAGTATTAATATATTACTTTCACTTGGTGTTTTACTGTTTTTCAACACATTAGAAATGACTATCTAAACCAATTAGATTGGATTTAGTGAAGTAAAAAGGTTTACTTTTAATCATCCATCTCTGAATGTCAATTTACTTTTAATTATTGAATATCGGCTCAAAAGGAGAGGTCTCAGACCACAACTGGCATGGATAATGAGAAAGAAAGAAAGGGCAAAGACTATTGGAAAAGCCTGCCATAACGTGATCTAGAATATCATTATGGAAAAGGCAAAAACATTTAAAAAGTTATTAACATTAGATTTCCTTTATCCAACTCAATTTTTTTTGTTATTGCTTTACCTTAGTGGAGGAAAACAAAAGAAGTTTTCAGATAAGTATGGCCATATATTTTTTATAAATATTATATATAAAAGTTATACTTACATACATGATTGGTTGTACTGAGCTTTATATGATAAAAACACACACTAAGAAAAAAACAAAGATTCTCACAGGAACTAAAACCTTGTATCAATAGCTGCCAAAATCATTCACTCTAATCTGTCTTTAATATCAAGAGATCCCTAGATGAAAGACATGCTCATATTATTGAGCACTTGGGGATAGAGAGTCATTTCTATAAATATTTCTTTCCTTTAAGTCCTGTGAATGAATTAAATGAAAAATAGCAGTTATCAGAAGATTTCCTTCCCAGTATAGGGAAGCATCTCATAATGGGATCACCAAGGGTAGTAGGTTCTTGCCCACTGGGCTACAAGTGTGTTAAACTACATAGAAGGCCAGATAGAAGGCAACTTTGGATCAGATTTTGCTTGAGTTGAACGATTCTCTAACAGCTCACCTTCTATCTAGGCTCAAACTAAAAAGGTTCCTCAGTCTCAACACTATTGACATATTAGACCTGATAATTCTTTGTTGTAGGAGCCTGTCCTGTGTGTCACAGAATGTTTAGCTGCATCCCTGTCCTCTACCCAACTGATGCCAAGTAGTACTCCACCCCCTTCCCCTAGCTGTGAAAACTAAAAATGTCTCCAGACACTGCCAAATGTTCTCTGAGAGGTAAAACTACCCTGCCCATTGAGAACCACTGCACTAAAGTACCCATAAGAAACCAGAGATAAAAATTTAAAACCCTGGGCAACAGTGGCCTACATAAGGAGTAAATTTAACTACTATAACACCACCAGAAAAATTAGGAATCTCCCACCTAGACTTGTGTAGAGAAGGATCCATAGAAATACAAAATTTACCTAGTGTCTTCCTTCATATAGAAAGAAGAACTGAACAGATAAAACTAATAATTCATAAAATTATTGTGTCTTTAACTCTTCAAGTGCAAAATTAATCTACTTACCTTTCTTCTCGTAGTTTTCGTACTCGTTCAGCTCTTTCTCGTTTCTCTTGTTCCTCAAGAGCACGCTGTTCTGTTGTATCTTTTTGGATGCGTTCATTTAAGGCATCAAAGTCTCTTGCAATGACATGTAGCAGCCAATAAAGACCTTTTTTAATGGACTTATCAATTTTCTTTCCATACCCCAAGACTGCTGAACATGGTTCCTAAAACAGAAATTTATTTGACTCAAAGATTAAAAGTTCTCCACACAAATCTATTCATAAACCATCAAGAATAATTAATGGCAAATCAAAATTAAGCCATTTAAGTTAACGATATGAAGCATCTGCTTATTTAACTTCCAAAACATACCTTTGCGATGATTATTAACATCATTATTTTACAGATAACATCTGTATGCTATGTGAGATATTATAAAGAAGAGGGTGATAGTGCCAATTACACTATCTGAAGAAAAAATTTAATTGCCATAAGAAAAATACCTCTATTTATGAAAAATGCCAGGAAGTTTTAATTCCTTATTCTAAAATCTGCAGCAGTAAACATCCATAAGACTGACAGTCTAATGTTTTCTGAAACCAAACTAAATTATTAAATCCCCTGATGATCTTCCTTAAGACTGTATGATATCTCTCCTGATAGGATTTTTCTTTCCTTTTTTTGTTTTTTAGAGACAGGGTCTCACTCTGTTGCCCAGGCTGGAGTACAGTGGCTCGATCAGAACTCACTGCAGCCTCAACCTCCCAGGCTCATGGGATCCTCCCACCTCAGCCCCCTTAAGTAACTGGGACTACAAGCACACACAACCACGCCCAGCTAATTTTCCTATTTTTTGTAGAGCTAGAGTCTCACTATGTTGCCCAGGCTGGTCTCAAACTCCCAGGCTCAAGCAATCTGCTCCCAAATGCCAGGCAATGTAATTTTTCCAAATTAATTATGAATTGCTCATATGCTTAAATGTTGTATTTATATTTTTCTTTCCCATTTTACAAAGTTCATACCATGATGTGCTGGCATAGCACACAGATCCTATCAGCAATATCTTAAACAAAAAGCAAATGTGAAGCTTTTTGAAATCATGGAAAGATAGTTTATGGAAATAACAAGGAAACAGACAACAAATATTATGGCATTAAGTTATATCAACAGAAAAGTGAGAGTGTGATTTCATAGGTTACAAAAATTTTTTGAAAAGATTGGTTTTTAACTGCTATCACTTTTATAAAAACCAAGTTATATTGAACTTATTTGAAAGGATAAAGAGTAAAAAAAAATAAAACCTTACTATCTGACACAGGCACTTGTGCTCATTGACCAATTTTTCCAGAGACAGACATTCAATAACATCAGCTTCTCCTAAAGCTCCTTCTTTATCTTGTTTATTTGCCAACCTAAAAGATAAATAAAGTACTTTTATACAGCATACATATAATTAGATGGCAACCTAAAGATATTTTGACCACATTCTTTTAGTTTTTGGGGGTCTGAGTCTCGCTCTGTCACCCAGGCTGGAGTGCAGTGCTACAATCTTGCTCACTGCAACCTTCGCCTCCGGGGTTCAAGTGATTCTCCACTTCAGCCTCCAGAGTAGCTGGGACTATAGGCATGTGCCACTACACCTGGCTAATGTTTTATACTTTTAGTAGACACTGGGTTTCATCCTGTTGGCCAGGCTGCTCTTGAACTCCTGACCTCAAGTGATCTGGCAGCCTCAGCCTCTCAAAGTGCTGGGATTACAGACATGATCCACCATGCCCGGCCTGACCACATTCTTTGATTCCCAAGTTTTTAATCTACTGATTATAGAGCACACCAGTTTCTTAAAATGTTGTAGTGTCAATTTCATCGTTTTTCCTTTACTTATTATTGCTAAAATAGTTTGTGAACACTGGCCTATAAAAGGAAAATCTAAGAAAGAGAAATAATTTGTGAACACTGGCCTATAAAAGGAAAATCTAAGAAAGAGAAGTGTCAAGAAAACTTAACGGATCAATAGGCCAACAGAAAAACTACAAAACAAAAAGAAGAGGACTGATATCCATAGGCCACATCCATAAATGATATTCCTGTCTTCTTAAAACACAATCTGTAACATGTTTTAAATGACCAAATATTCATTCTTTTTAATATTTGAGCTCATCTACAAAATTTTAATGTGTGAATGTGTCCACATAAATTTGCAATTTACTGAAGACCCAAGGCCACCTCTAATTTACTTGGCAAAACACTGAGAATTAAAAAAAAAAAAAAAATTGTATACAGACTAGATACCAACAAAATGAAAAACCAAAATAAGTTCTATAGAAAAACAGGATTTACCACAATATACCACTATTTAATTATATAACTTAGATTAAAAAGTTTAATAAAATACTGCCTTGCTCAAAATTTGAGACTCTTTAGATGAAAACAAAAAACAAAAAACAAAAATTTAAGTAAACAGACTAAGAAATCTAATGACCCCTACCACCTATCTTTAAAAATTATCCAAACTGTGTCATTCTTGCTTACCTTCTACTTTTGCATTTCCCAAGTTACCATTAAATCTACATACCTTCTGTTTCGCTGCCTGAGTCAGATTACTTCACCCAGATATTAAAAAATCATTACCATGATACCACTATTACACCTAACAAAATTAACAGTAAGTCTTCAATATTACTCAGTTTACTCAATATTCTCCAATATCATGTTACAAGTGTGATGTTTAAATTCAGATCCAATATACTTTACACATTACCTATCACTTAACTCTTTTTGAATCTATATTACCTGCCCTCCTGCTACCACCTCCACGACTCTTTTCCTCCCACGACATTTATTTACAAAATAAGTAATTTTTCTTTAGAATTTCCCATGTCTGGGATTTGGCTAATATCTTCCTTATAAACTTATTTAACATACTTATCCTATATTTCCCGTACTTGGTGGTAAGAAAGTGGATGAGTTTCAGATGAAATCTTTATGGCAAGCATATTTCGTAGGTGGTGCTTGTATTTAGGGGGGGCATATAATATCAATTTTATATAATGGCCTATTTTGGTGGTATAAAATTAACCAGTGGATTTACATTCAGCCTGATCCAGCCAAAATAAAGTTCCTCATTAACCTTTCACTTAATGATTTTAGCAGCCATTGATGACCATTGCCTAATTCTTTTATTTTATCGAAGTTTACGAAACAGTGACTTTTTTAGTTCTATATTCCTTCTGCATTTACTAGCAGGATTTTTGCTAAAAATAAGTAGTTCACCAACCACTTGGTGACTCTTAAAATTCGCAGAGAAAAGTCAAGATAAATGTTTGATCCTTTGTCCTTATTTCCTAATTTTAAAAATAATGAATTGATGGTCTAGCAAACTGCAAGGGTGATCAGGTTGATTTTTTTTTAATGCCTATAAATTTAAGGGTTACAAGTGCTGTTTTGTTATGTACATATATTGCATAGTGGTGATATATTGCATAGTGCTGAGGTCTGGGCTTTCAGTGTAACCATAGACTTAATAATGTGTATTGCAGACACTGATTTCTCATCTCTAACTCCCCTTCCACCCTCCCACCCCACCAATCTCCAGTGTCTGAATTCACAGTCCATGTCAATGTGTACACATCATGTAGCTTCCACTTATAAGTGAGAACATGCTATATTTGACTGTTTCCAGATTATTTCACTTTAAAAAATGACCTCCAGCTCCATCTACATTGCTACCAAAGACATGCTTTTTTAAATAGCTGAACAGTATTCCATTGTGTATATGTACAACACACATACACACCACCTTTTTTTTTTTTTTTTTTTGAGATGGAGTCTTGCTGTGTTGCCAGGCTGGAGTGCAGTGGTGCGATCTCAGCTCACTGCAACCTCTGCCTTCCAGGTTCAGGCGATTCTCCTGCCTCAGCTTCCCAAGTAGCTGGGACTACAGGTGTGCACCACCACGCCCCCCTAATTTTTGTATTTTTAGTAGAGACAGGGTTGCACCATGTTGGCCAGGATGGTCTTGATCTCTTGACTTCGTGATCCACCTGCCTTGGCCTCCCAAAGTGCTGCGACTACAGGTGTGAGCCACTGCACCTGGTCCGCATTTTCTTTAATCATCCATTGAAGGACATTTAGGTTGACTCCATATCTTGTCTACCGTGGATAATGCTGTGATAAACATCCAAATGCAGGTATCTCTTCTTGTCTAATCATTTATCTTCCTTTCGACAGATACCCAGTAGTGAGGTTGCTAGATTAAATGGTAGTTATTTTTTTAGTTAAGCAATCTCCATATTGTTTATCATGGCAATTGTTCTAATTTACATTCCAAGTGTATTCTCCACAGTTTTGCAAACCTCTGCTATTTTTTAACCTTTTAATAATAGCTAAAAATTCTTACTGCATGACCTGTGAGATGGTATTTCATTGTGGTTTTAATCTTCATTTCTCTAATGATTAGGGATGTTGAGTATTTTTCCTGTTTGTTGGCCATCTGCATGTCTTCTTTTGAAAAATGACTATTCTTGTCCTTTGCACATTTTTTCATGGGTTTTTTTGGTTTTTGTTCTTGTTGATTTCCTTGTAAATTTTGGATATTAGTCCCCTATAGGGGATGAATAATTTGTAAATATTTTCTCCCATTCTGCAGGCCATTTGCTCCATTGATTACTTCTTTTGCTGTGCAGATGTTTTTAATTAAGTCCCATTTGTCTATTTCTGGTTTTGCTGCTTGCCCTTTTGAGGTCTTAGTCATGAATTATTTGTCTAGACCAATGTCCAGAACAGTTTCACCAAAGTTTTCTTCTAGGATTTTTCAGGTCTTACATTTAAGCCTTTAATCAACCTTGAGTTAATTTTTGTATATGGTGAGAAACAGGGTTCCAGTCTCATTCTTCTGCATATGGCAATCCAATTTTCCCAGCATCACTGTATCCATCATCTGGGTTCTCTACTCTTTTCAATTGACCTCTACATCTATTTTTATACCAGTACCATGCTACTTGGGTTACTATAACCTTGTAGTATAATTTAAAGCCAGATAATATGATGCCTCCAGCTTTATTCCTTTTACTTAGTACTGCTTTGGTTATTTGGACTTTTTGGTGCTTTTTCTTATTTTGAGAGGCATCACTATGAACTTATGTATTTAAAAATATATTTGATGTGTTTCAATTTGTTGCAGTAACAGTTCTTTTTAAGGCTCAAAGGCACCCATTTTGAGGTAGTGGAAGCCTCCTTCAGGTCAGCTCTTGGACCCTTCTGGTACAACTCCAACAGTCTTTGATAGCTTCTTTGTGTTCTACTACGAAACAAGGTTCCAGACTCGGAATCATCCATTTCCCTAAGAAGCCTTATCTTTTCAGTGGTAAATGGCATTTTAAAGACCAAAATCTATGAGTTACATATATATACATACACTTGCCATTGACTTACTACTGCTTCTAGGCCCTTTCAGTGCACAAAGCTGGGAAATACAGTTTTATTACAGAAAAAAAAATCTAATCATGCATTCATGTTGATTTTTGTAAAAACTTGATTTCAAATCCATTATCAAGTTTTTACTTAGCTTTTTAAATCTTGTTTTTGTTTCACTCCAGCCTGGGTGACAGTGAGACCCTGTCTCAAAAAATAAAAAAGAAAAAAACAAAAAAAATAAAAAAAATAATAAAAATATATATATATGGTTCTAAATGCAAAACCATAAAAACAAGATACAATCAGAAGGAACTATGTGCTATCCCTCTGCCTTTTCCTTCCCTTCTCCTATAGGTAACCATTTTCATTCATCTTTTTTTTTATTTCCATTATTTCCTTTTGAAAATATAAACAAGCATATAGAGAAAATGGTATTTTAAGGACCATAATTTGAGCACTATGGATATTCAATGCTACTGGCTGGTTTATGTATTGGTGTATATATGTAATATTTCTATCTACCCTTCCTTTCTTCTTAAAAGTTAGCGTATTATATATATTCTTCTGCAGCACGCTTTTTTTCATAACAGTAAATATTTAAAGTACCCTGAAGCAGTATAACGAAATCTTCTTCATTTTCTATAATTGCAAAATGCTCCCCTTTGAATGTTCCATCATTTACTCAGCCAGCTCTATGCTGAAGGACTTTTGTGCTTCCAGTGTTTTGTTTTTACAAAGAGTGCTATAAAAAAGGTGTGTAAAGGAGTCATTTCTTATTTGGGGTATAGATTTCAGGAAGCAAGACTATTAAAACAAAGAATAAATATATATGTGATTGGCCAGGCGCGGTAGCTCATGCCTGTAATCCCAGCACTTTGGGAGGCCAAGGTGGGTGGATCACCTGAGGTCAGGACTTTGAGACCAGCCTGGCAAACACATTGGAATCCTGTCTCCACTAAAAAATACAAAAAAAATTAGCCAGGCATGGTGGCAGATG